TTGGTACTGTAAGTTCGAAATGGTCAGCTAAAGTTTCATAATTGATGGCGTGGTGTTAATTTTTTGCATAAACTTGAAAGCATGTGCTTCACATTAGATGAAGTGACGTCAAGTTTCTGCGAAATACACGTACACTTTAGTGACGTAAATATAGGGACATCAATTTTACGTTAACATTATGTCATTCTCATGGCAATCGCAATAAATTTACACGATTTGCAAACAATATTGATATCATGTCCACGTTATCATTCTGCTTCGGACAGCTGAACGGTTGGATCTCATCGAAATGCAATTTTCACCATTCGAAAGACGAGACGATTCTGTAGGAATTACTTATTCAAGGGGTTCTTCAAATGGAGGATAATTGCATGATTTATCCGGTGGTATCTTTTGGACTAGACGTTTCTACGCTGTGTGGTCATATCAACACATTATCATCCAAAAACATACTTGCAGCACTGTGTCGGCTATTCTGGTCTTAGGGTTTTCCAGATCGGGGAAGATTCGTTACTTGTCTTGTTAACATTATTGCCGATTTTGTTGATCAACCTGCGACTGATGAATCACAAGAGATTCACCTCCGGTGAATTTCTTGTGAATTGTCGTGCGGAATCCGTGGAATTCGGTTTAATGCCTAACTTTTACAACTCCCTTAGTAGTGGTCGATCATAAATTTTTCTAAATCCTTCACGAACTGGAATTGTTCACAGCAGGCCTCATTAACTCTGGCACTCGAACAGGCAATAAGACGCGGTGCCGCAAGAGCGTTTTTAGATGCAAATGCATAGAATACCCAGAATAGAAATTTTCTTTCCGATGGATACCGTCTGTAAAATAATGCAAAAATCCGTCGTTCGAGAGAGATTGATCTAGTCTTGAGAGAGAATATTCTAAACAAACTCGCTAGCTAGACTATAGACTATATACTATAGACTCGCTATGAACATACCTTCGGTGCGGTTCGCTCCATATAATATGAATAATAATACATTTAATAATAATAATAAACATCCCTTTTCGATTCTCACACTTACAAATTGAGTAAAACTCCTAAAACAGAGATGTTCCATTGTCCCAGAACTGTCACTTTTAAGTTCATCTTCAATACAGCGCCTTTTATAGCAAGACTATGAGAACCAGCTTTCTTCTTTGTTGAGTTTACTCATTCTCCCTCATGAAGAAATAACCTCTAGTATGGTGGCAAACAATCCAAGAACCTTTTACAACTACTAATAAAACATATCCCCCTGAGGGTGCATTCGACAAAGGGAAGATTTTCTTTGAATGCGTTTATCCCAGTCTTAAATTTAAAAAATGTATTTCTCTGAAGCGAATTTATTTTTAAAACATCCCCCCAGGAACGTCCCCCCCAGGGGATACATCTCAAAAGTGAAAATTTTCTTTGAAGAACATCTCACTAACCCCGTTCAAACTCATTTTTAGTCATTCATGTATTTCCCTTTGACGGAAAAAAAATAAAACTTTTCAGTGAAAAAATGTGTCCTAAAGGGCATACGAGGTGTGGCTATTAAATAACGAGACTAGTAGCAAAAAGTATGTTCATTATTAGAATATTAGAACTTAATTGGTATCCCCTTCAACATACTCCCCTCCCCTATCTATACATCGTTGAAGACGAATTTTCCATTGTTGGAAAAAATTCTGCAGGTCATCATGTGTCAACCCCTTCAGTAGCGTTCCCGTTTTATCCTTGACCTCGTCCACAGTTTGGAAATGGGTCCCCTTCAATGCGGATTTTACCTTAGGAAACAAGTAAAAGTCGCACGGAGATAAATCCGGCGAATAAGGTGGGTGGTCCAGCACTGGGATCTTCTTATCGGCCAGAATCTGCTTTACCGACAGCACATTGTGTGCGGGAGCATTGTCCTTATGGAGAATCCACGCGTTGTTCTTCCACAACTCGGGCCTCTTCTTCCTCACTCGTTCTCTCAGCTTGGCCAGAACCTGAAGGTAATACTGCTGATTGACCCTGTGGTACCCATTCAACCATGACCACACCATTGATATCGAAGAACACAATCAGCATTGCCTTCACCTTCGACTTGCTCTGTCTTGCCTTCTTCATTCTCGGTGACGTGGGAGTTTTCCAGTGCATCGATTGTCTCTTTGCTTCAGGATCGTACTGGAAAATCCACGTCTCGTCACATGTGATGACTCTGTCTTGCCTTCTTCATTCTCGGTGACGTGGGAGTTTTCCAGTGCATCGATTGTCTCTCTGTTTCAGGATCGTACTGGAAAATCCACGTCTCGTCACATGTGATGATCTTTTCCAGCAAGTCAGGTTCCGCTGTGATTCGTTCCATGAAGTCTGTGCACATGTGTTTCCGGATGTCTTTCTGCTCCTGACTGAGGTTTTTGGGAATCATTTTGGCGCAGACTTTGCGCATGTTCAATTGGTCGTGTAAAATTTGTCGAACAATCTCTTTATCAATGTTCATGTCTGCTATCATCCGAATACTTAATCGGCGATCCATTCAAACACTCGCGCACGTGAAATCACGTACACCTCTTGCAACAGTTTCAAGCACTCACTCGGCGATTTCTTCAATTTCACTAGGAATTTGAGATTGATGCGCTGCTCGATTTTTACATTAGCCATTATTCCGGCAAGACGATTGCGCACCTCTCCCGTCAAACGCTGCTAGCAGACTGACTACTAGCGCCAACGAAACCCGGCTCGTCTCGTCAGGTTCCGGAAGCTTCAAAGTCACTCACCGCACATGTGCTCCCCGCTCATACCGCCTACAGGGCGCCCAGTCTCGTTATTTAATAGCCACACCTCGTAGATTGCTTTGCTTTGTCACTCGAGGGTCGGCATTCCACATACCACCTCGTGTCAAAATGCGCTACTAGTGGACGTTCTAAACCAAAATTGTTTATCTCTAAAGGTAAACGGTGTTGGTGAGAACGCATCTATCTTTCCTCTCGGCCCGACGAAAACTATGAATTTCTTGCTACCACAGTACCACAGCTGAAGCACTTCGAAAATGTTATTATTTCGTTTCCTGCTGTGGGTGTACTCTTGCAGCTAAAATGTATAGTTCTCATGGGGCCAAGAGGGAAGATAAAATGCATGCGTGGTGTGGTTTGTTGGTCTCTGGCTCATCTGGAAGTTCGATGAACGCAAAAACCTCAGGGCCTTTTTGAAACGCCACTCCAAAACATTCCTCTTGTTTTATTTTGTCCATAAAGGCATCTAACCTATTGTGGGAAGAAATTGACGGAGGAAATTGATAGTATCACCACCAAACGCTCTCCATAAGCTTTAACGAGTCTCAATTGCACGTAACTCAAAATGGTTCGCCCTAATTATGGTCTCACCACCAGGCTAGAAAAATTCGCCATACTCAAAGTTATCGACACCCATAGTGGGTTTAAGTGCTAGATTGTGGTCCTCATTTTCTTGACCTAGTCCTCAGCTACTGAATTTCTAACGCACCTCCATGATATTGGCTTCTCGTCTCTGAACATCCTGCAACGGCATTAACTCCCACTTATACGCAGGCTTCCGAAACGGAAAAGATCAGATTGGGGCCTGAGAAAAGGCGAGGATTGAAAATGACGTGGGAGTTTTCAAATACAGTTGGATAGCGATAGGCAAAAATCCTGTCGACTTGCCAATTTCCTCCGACGAAAGGGCAATTCCATGTCAACAATCACAATTTACGCTTCCGCGCTTAGAATTTCATTAGCTTGGAGGCTTGAAGATTTGATAACTGCAAGCATGTATATCATATTTTATTAATATATAATAAACATGAGTAGATATACTCATTTATTGCACTCCCTTGTTTTGGGTCCATTACTGTTCATGATGTGCCTTTCCATGAGTTCAATTAGATAGAAGGACGTGCAATGCCATTTCGCGCCTTTTGCTCTTTCTTACGTCAGAAAAAACCATGCTTTATGATAGAATCATTTCTTAATCAAAATAATCCAAGCTTACAGCCCTCAAATCTTACTTCCTGCCATGGTTCAAGTATATAAAGAAAGGTCAAGCGCAACTCATGGTTGAATTGAGTCGGAATAGCCCGAGAGAGAAGCTTGCAAGAGACTCATGCATGACAACTCCTAAAATCCATACCTCATTTCACGAAACCGTATTTTCTCCGCAGAAGTTTCAACTTCCCAAAAGAGCATGGGATCTCCTCACAGGTTTCTTTTTGAAGCCGAAATGGATGCGCCTGTGCAACCGGCCACTGGAACTCCGTAGGACGGAATGCCGAGATTCGCTGGATGGATGTATCTCCGAAGGCAGTCCGAAAATCCTGGCTCACTTGATATGGTCTTAGCAGTTTTATATTGATTTGTCGCAGAGCTCGTCGTTGATTTTAAAATTATGCTTACGAATTTCTTAAGTTCTAGGATGGTCTACTTCACTCTGCCAAGGTAGTTCTCCACAGGTCAACTGCTTCTTCACTCGGTTTTTCTCGTCTGGGCTGCATCGTAGCTGATTTGGCCCGTTTCTATAGTTGGCAGAGGCTCACTTTTCATTTTCGAATCATGTGATTGAATGGCAGTTCCTTAAAACCTCTTTGTATTACCAGGAGATATTTATGGCAGCAACGTTCACAAGCGGCATTTAACAGATTCGGTTTTACAGAATTGTTGCCATTCGCGAAGATCATTCATTTCCGATGTTTACTCCTAGCTTGAGCAGAAATACTGAATTTCAAAGTAAACCTGTTTTCTTAAGGTCAGGTCAGGAAAGAAAAGAAATATCACGGATGGTTACGATGATGAGGACTTGAGGAGTAGTATCACTGTTGTTCGACTTACGTTGGACTGCGTCCGCAGACAAAAGTTCGAGAGTTGATAGCAGAACATGAAAAAGGTTCCACTGTAACCGAAACAACGTGAACAGGTTAGGGATAGACGAACCGCTGAGACAGACAACACACGTAGGAAGAACAAATGGGCAGAAGTCTTTGGAAAAAAACGAAGGACGGCTTGACTGGATGTCGCACACAACCCTAATAAAACAAGGGGTTTTCAGTCACGTCCCCAACATGAGCATAGCCCGTGTGGGACAGCGGGCACGAAAGATCTCCGCGGGAGCCCCATGGCTCTACTTAATACAAATTCAATTTTTGATATATTTTTTACTCATATTACACTCCTCTCTCCTTATAATAAATGTGTCCTCAAATTTAGAAAAGTGACAAAAAAATTACAGGTTGCATGAGATTTCACAAAATGTAGCTAATAACAAAATTACATTGACTTGAAAGATCATCAGGTTGAAAAATTATAAATTAGAATACATTAGAACCAAAATCACATAATTGCATACTTCTTGAGATTAACTTGAACATAAATATGGCATTCATGGAGTACATGAACAGAGATCCTTGAGATCGCAACAAAAAACATAGCACCCCCTATGGTTCAACTTCAAACAAATTCCATTTGTAATATTTTTACTCATATGATACCTGCATGCTGGAAAATGCAGGGAATACCGCAAAAACAGCTATATTTGTTTCACTATGAATAAGATCTTCAATTTAAATTAGAAAAGAAAGAAAAGCTTTTAGAAGTCGGTTTTATTCAGAGTTTAATTAAATGGAAAATATATTTTCCCCAATATTCATGGAAATGGAAGTTTCAAAAGCACAAAACTCTAAGCAGTGCAAAAAAGAAAGCTCGAATGTCAAGAAAAAAATAATAAAAACAAGTAGGGGAGGGTGGGTCAGCATGGGTCACTTTTTTGCAGTCTGCTACTTAAATATTTTTGTTCTCTGAAGCGATGCAAGATGCTGCGTTTAAAGATTCACATCGTCTACCCAATTCTGTTTTAAAAATTGGTGATGTCATATATAGCAATAGGCTGTCTACACATTGGACACGTTGGTTTCACAGACAACCAGTCTTGGATACAATATCGACCAAAGAAGTGACCACACTGGAGGGAAACCTTGGGGTGAAGAAAGTCAAAAATGCAAAAGCAAATGTGGCATTTGTCCTCGGTTGGTCCTTCCGGGGGAGTTTCTACGGCGTCACTTCTGAAAATAGACAATAACCGTCTTGTTTTCTCTACAGGTTATGGAAAAATGATCCACAACTTCTATATTTCGTGTTGATGCACATCCTGATGCCATTTTCATATTAAACCTATATTTTGCATAGGCTGATGTATTTCCAATACATTAAAAAAAGTTTATGGAAATTGGTTCTGTCCAAGAAAGGTGGTGAACAATTGTTCCAAAGAAATAAGACGTTGATAATGGATTGGAGACTCGAGTCGGTTGAGTAAATCCTGCTGGCTCACCCCCAATATTGATATTGATTGATTCACTAGTTGTTCGTTAAAAAAAAAGGTTCATCAAAGCCATCTCCAACATTGGAGCAGTGAGAATAATGAATATCGAAAGGCGAGAGCTTCGCCCTCCTCTGGTGATACGTAACCAGAGCTCCAAGACGCTTCTTCCACAAAAATGGAGGAAGTGCCTCAGGGCTCTAGCGGAGTGCAACGTATATGGGCAGTTTCAAAAGTTTCAGGCGTAACACCAGCAGGATCAAGATGACGTAATGCAGTTTAGGCAGCAGTTTTCGTTATCCTGGCTCCTTTTCAATTCTATTTGATTTGGCTTCACTTGGAGATTCCATATTTTCAAGAGGGAAGGCATGGATCGTCCCATTTTTATGCCAAATGACTGTTGCATATTAAAAATGCTGTGGCAATGAGAGTTTTCTAGCGGTACTAAGGTAAGAAAAAGGTCCAAAACGAGGTTCATGAAGCAAGTGTTAAATTAATCCAAATGTAGTGTTGCATGAGTAATGAAAAACAACCTCATGTTAGGCGATCATGTTTAGTGCATGCCTTGTATAGTCTGAGTTTAGTATTCATGCAATGCAGATATATTAAGTTAGAGGGTATTTTTGGAAAATATTTGTTTGGCACTTTTGTCTCAATGGCTTCAGAACTTACCATATACAGGGTGGCCCAAAAGTTTTTGGACCGATTTTTAAATGCCAATATCTCGGAAAGTATTGAAGCTAGAGACTTGAAAAAATCACCAAATAAAAGTTTAATTCATCCTCTTTCCAATGATGTATAGTTTTCTAGTCGTAGTTGTCATGCCATGGCCGCAATGGCCATTTGAAAAAACCAAACCTGGAAAAAGAGCTGCAAGGATATTTTGATGCTACTATCCTGCATCCGTGTCACACCCGGGAAGACCAGACAGGCAAGTGCACCTCGACTGGGACCATTAGGTGCGTAGAAATTGTAAGATACTGACCAGCAGACAGCTAGGGAAGAGGAAGTGAGGGATTATGCGGGACAAGTGAGACGCCCACGCTTCGATGCTCAGACGAGTTCAGTTAACTGTTGGCTCTTCTGGTTTTCGGCAGACTTCGTATGCACTTCCTTGCTACATCTTTTGTTCCTCTTTTTGAAAAAAATGTTTGTATTACCCGTTTTTATTTCCACGGGGTCTTAAAATGAGTGTCAATCGCGGTTTATCTTTAAGTGATCAAAAAATCATTCGTGCACTTCACGAGGAAAAAGGATTTTCATTGAATCAAATTCTANGTTTACAACTTTTTTTTCAAGCATGGTTTTTTCAAATGACCATTGCGGCCATGGCATGACACCTACGACTGGAAAACCATACATCATTGGAAAGAGGATGAATTGAACTTTTATTTGGTGATTTTTTCAAGTCTCTAGCTTCAATACTTTCCGAGATATTGGCATTTAAAAATCGGTCCAAAAACTTTTCGACCACCCTGTACATGTATTACCTCCCATGAGTTCTGCCCATTGTCAATATCCAACGCTTTTTGAACATTTGCTTTTAGCCCAACTTAAGCTTAAGAATGTGAATGAAATTACAGGAGTCTCTTTGGAACATATCCATCTGTACCCATTACACATTTTGCTGAATATGTTGAGACAAAGAGCGAAAATGGGTTGGTTTCTAAGTTTATTGTCCTTTTTACTATCCTCCATGGAGGTCTTAATTGTTGTCCGTAATATGGGCATAATTGCATAGTTCCTCCATTCATATCGACCTTATGTGAAGAAGAGACAGGGACAAGCTCCAGCGCAAATAAACATTTAGACTCCCATTGGTTAGTTGGTCTACCAACAATATCCACAACACACTTTTCCATCAGCTATTCATGAGCACTGTCAACAATAATAAGAAAGTAGTAGAAAGGTTGGCTGAAGAAATCCTCCACCCAGTTTTTCGCATACAGTAAATGTATTTGTCTGTTGTTAAAGCTCAGAATGAAAACTATTCACCAGTTACCAGGGAGAATATTCCTGCAGTGAAAAAGTCCCAGCACTTACCAACTTTCATTACCACCCAAAAAATATTCTATGCAAAATGCTTCAGAGGAATTATATACTCTCAATAAATACGCCCATACTCAACAGTAGGGTTCCAATTCTTCAGGGTTACGATTCCAGCTGCTATCTTCCGTGTACCCATCATACAAATATATCAAAGGATGCGTGAATAGCACACCGTGGGCTTCCCAAGTAACATAACAATTTGAATAACGTCTCAGCGACGTTACCGCAACGTCATGTCGCTCCAGTCATGTTGCAGCAACGTTGAATATGCGTCACGTGTTGCTTGGGCTTCCATAAATGAATTACATCGGTCGAAGTAAGACTCGGATAGAAATGACTCAATATTCACATCTAATGTTAAGGTACTATGGCAACATAAAATTCGACCGTGAGCAGCTGGGTTTAATGAGGCAGGTAAGGAACTCTACAGTTGACAATGGGCATATTTAGTGAGGAGATATGATTTCTCTAAATAAGTTTGCCACAATATCTTGTGGGCGGTAAATAAATTCGGAAAGTGCTGGGAATTTTTCGCCCCAGGAATATTCTCCCTGGTAACTAGGAAATACTTCTCATTCTGAGCTGTTACAACAGAAAAAAAACCCATGCGAAGACCTGGGAAGGGGATTTCTTCAGCCAACTTGTACAGTACTTTGTTCTTATCGTTGTTGAAAATGCTCATGAAAGCTGATGGGAAAGTACGTTGTGGATATTGTTGCAGTATTGTTATTGGTAGACCAAGTAAACAATTGGAATCTAAATGTTTATTTGCGCGGGAGCTTGTCGCTGTCTGTCCTTCACATGAGGTCGATATGAGAACTATGCATTTACTAGCGAAACTATTACTATTTACTATTTACGAAACAAACTCGCAATGGGCGCGCCTTCGGCGCTCCATTACCTTGAAAAGTGATTAATTCTGTATTTTTCTCGAAATGGGAAACACGTATTTAACGTACGTACCCATTGAAATATGTGACATATGGGGTCGAAAGCCTTGATTTTTATCAAACTCTTTACTTCTATCATTCTATGTGTGCCTAACTTCAAATCTTTTCCTGTGTCTCTTTTGGTAAGGGTGGAGAATACATTTTGAAAAACTTCCCTCTAATAATTAACGCTAAGGAGACATATTTCAAAAGTAGGACTTTTCCTGTACTCAGCCATTAAACAGGTACTTCTGAGGGAATTTCATATATTCTGTCTCTGTTTCGTTGGATCCAAAAACAAATTCAGGAACATGGGACTTAAAGAAAAAGAGCCCTGATGTGTTTTAGGGAAAAAATTTTTTTCTTTTGAAATGAAGACTCAGGGAACTCCATGTCACCCAATTTCAGCCCTATACGTTTCCCCTTTTTGAATTAGCGTCAGTCAGTCACAATCGTCTATATATATGTATATATATGTTAGAAAATTATGATATTTTATTTACGCAGCATTTACGCATTTTTTTATTTTTTTATATTTATTTATTTATTATTTATTCATGAAGTACTTGTTTGTCAAGTTTTTTTACTTTCATGCGCGCACTGTTTTGCTGGATCATAAAACTTGTGAAAATACGCCTTTTGCAATATATGTGCCCTGAGCCGTTTTAACTGAAACGTATTATATTTTTCTTACCGTAATCCATCCTCAGTGAACTACATGCCCACAAAGTTTCACTATTATACATTTGCCCTTTTCGCTGGTGAAAAAACATGTTTGGAAAAGACGACCCACCCTAACGCTATGCCCAGAGGGGATGCACCATGAAAGCTGAATACGACCTCAGCTCAATAATATCGTCACTAATACGTGTGTGCCAAGTTTCACCTTTCTATTTCTTTCCAATTCGCCGCAACAATTTTTTTTTTCAAAACATTGCACCTCGAAAAATTCCCCCAGGGGATTTATCGAGTCTTAACATTTTCTTGAACTCCTCGTCTCATTAGTCACGTTCATGCAAAGTTTCAGCTTTCCATGTTCATCAGTTTAACTGATGCAAAAAAATTAGTTGAAAACATTTCCCTTTGAAATTTGTGCCCCCATGGCATTTACTTCCAAAGTCTGAAGTTTTCTGAAGCATCCCAAATAGGTAGTTATGTACCAAGTTTAATCTTTCCACACTAGTTCAATACGCCTGTATTGCAATCCAATACAGTATTTGTTATTTTTCAATTTCTTAGATTAACTGAAACAAACAATAAACTTAGACTATATATGGTATCCACTAAACATGCATCACCTATCATGGTGGTTTTTCAATTCTCATGCAACACTGCATTTGAATAAATTTAATACCTGCTCCGTGAACCTCGTTCTTTGACCATTTTGTTACCTTAGTACCGCTGGAAAACTCTACAAGCCACTTCATTTTTTATATACCACAGTCATTTGGCATGAAAATGAGGTGGTCTATGCCTTCTCTCTTGAAAATATGGAATCTCCAGGTGAAGCTAAATCATATAGAATTGAAGAGGAGTCAGAACGAAACGTGCTGTATAAACTGCTTTACGTCAATAACACAAATGGAGGGCTTTAATCTTCTTCATACACGGGAGAGATGATCAAAACAGTGTTCAATACATCAATGAAATGAAAAAAATTGATTGCCTTACGAACTTTGGTTTCGTGCAAAGATTTCGTATTGAATGACGAAGTCAGTATTAATGAACTTCAATATGAAGGTGTGGGCGAAGGTATGAGCGGTTTTTTCATGAATTTCCAGTTTTCCGACTACTTGGATCATGATCTGATCATCCGGTATGGCCAGGCAATTGATGGCAGTTGGAAAGTGCTGAAAGGTTTGGCTGGCTAATGTTTTAAGTTTCTCCATAATATTCGTTGATCCAATGACAAGGGCTCCTTCACATATCATTTTTGATTCCTCCGTATATCTTGACGCCAGACTTTGCCTCTGATCTGGGTCATCAAACATGGCGTAATGCTGGTTAACAAAGAGCTGCCCCATTCCTTCAACGTCAACTTCAGGCGTAATCGTCTCACCCCCTTGTTCTCCAGTTTCGGCTCCTGCACAAAGGAAATACATGCTTCCCACTTGGAGATCTTCTTCATCATTGAAGATTGAAATGTAAAAATTCATGAAATAAGAAATAGGCCAAGATTTCTGGTTATATACCCCACTGACGGGTTTCCATCTACAAAACAAAAATATTCAATAAAGGACACTGGATGCAAAATGCCGCAAGCCTGCAGAAGACCAGAAATTTTCTTAAAGCATTAGGACATATTTATGCGGTCATATTCTAAATGCTCGAAACTTCTAAACAACACAAATACTCGATTCATAGAAAGATTATGGTCATATTTTCCTCACTTCCGCATAGTGACATTACGAGATCATTGTTTAAGTAGAGTCACAGAGGAATATATTGAAATGCTTTATTCTCCTTGTGGCAAGTTATTGAGATGAAGATATTATCAGCACGAAATAAGTGGTGTTCTTTCCAGTACACGATGACGTTTTTGGAAGCAAAAATGAGCCCATCGGGTACAAGTCTGTTAACCTAAAATTTGCTTTCGTTGAACAAACAGCTTTTAAACGTGTTGTCCTCTCAAGTACTTGCGTGTCCGCCCTTGGGGGGCGAGCGTTTTACATTTCTGAACCAGTCCATTCAACCTTTACTGCGACATGTGGTTGTTTATTATAGAGTGGTAAATGATGTGGCAAGCAGAAGTACGAGGAGAGGACGGAAAGTTCGATTAATTTTAATGAAGGAATTCACGATTTTTTCTTCTTCATATCCTCTCCTAAGCTCATCTATTCAGGACTTCTCAACATAGTCACCACTAATATCGATGCATTTATTCAGACGGTGGAGCCATTTTTGAAAGCACTCCTGAAAATCCTTCTTTTCAAGCTTTTCCAGCTCATCATTAACTGCTTGAATCACGTCCTCTCGCGTTTCGAAGACTTTCCCATGCAATGGCTCCTTAAACATGACTTTGCCAGGGTACTTTCTCTAGGAAAAGAAAAAGAAAGACTGGAAAGACTTTGCCGCCAGCAAAGTCATGTTTGCCATTTTTTTCTCTCACGATGGCATTGTCGCCGCCATTCCACCTGAAGAGGGCCAGACAGTGACATATCAATGGTACGTTGAGACCTGCTTGACGGAAGTCTTCAAAAAACTCCGTAGAAGTCACCCCCGAGACAAATTTCAGGAGATTTTTCTTCATCATCACAACACCCCGTCGCACTAAGCCACCAAGACGCTGCTCGTCATTGGCGCCTCTGTTATCAATTTCGTTGAAGAGCCGCCGTACTCGCTTGACTTAACGCCATGTGACTTTTGGCTTTTTCTGAAAATTAAGGAGCCATTGACTGGAAAAGTCTTCAAAACGTAAGAGGACGTGATTCAAGCAGTTAATGATGAGCTGGAAAAGCTTGAAAAGAAGGATTTTCAGGAGTGCTTTCAAAAATGGCTCCACCGTCTGAATAAATGCATCGATATTAGTGGTGACTATGTTGAGAAGTCCTGAATAGATGAGCTTTAGAGAGGATATGAAGAAAAAAAATCGTGTATGCCTTCATTAAAATTAATCGAACTTCCAACCTCCCCTCGTGTTGAGGCATAGTTTACTGAGGATGTGGGACCCCATTTCAACAATAGTACATATTTCATTTGACGTAGGTGTTTCAACAACGAAAGAGTATCATATGGTGATATGGAAACATCAGACGGATTAAATCAATATCCACATCGCTGTTTCTGCTAAATATCAACATTCTAAAGTTTACAATCTCAGATGTATAACTACATTTTAAAATCTGATTAGGGATTCCCATTTGCCCCAAGTATTGGGGCAAGTGGGAACCCCCCTCATATATGCTTTTGCACAAGTGATGCAGTTGAATTTTATGGTAACTAAAGTATAGCCACTATTTTTGAGTGCTCGATACAAATCTTTTTTTTTCCCTGAATGATACTGGTGAAACAGAATAAAGTTGTTGCGTACAACCGGTCAACAAAATAGGTATTAGACACACTGAGGAACCTCATGATGTCTCCTTTTCTAGTCAGCAAATCGTAAATTCATCACTAAACTTGGCAGATACGTACATGTGGACTCCCCTGACGCCTTTGCACAACTGGTCCTGAACCATGAAGTCCATTCTTACTCGAATCCTTCCTCCACTTGTCATTCTACTGCATTGGTGCTACCCCAGTAGCACAAGATATTGGCTCAATGCTGGGCCGACATTGGTTATGTTGGCTACGTCTTGGGCAATATTGCCAATATTGGGTGAATGTTGGGGAGGCAATGAAATTCCGATATTGCAATATCATTATTGATCCAATTTAAGACAGATCAATAATAATCAATTATTAGTGCGCTCAATATTGTAAGGTTCCTTGACCGAAATTTCCTGATGGGAATTTTACCTTTTTCGCTCATTCTGGAATTATAGATGCTTAAATAGTGTGGATAGTGGCGAATGCAATTT